AGGTTTCTAAAGTAGGGTAAGTGATAACCACACCCCTTCACGACCCCATAATTCGTTTGTATGACTATAAGCTGAGCTCACAAGAAACGTGCAAACGTAGTTCGGAAGGGCCACGCGGCGTCGCAACCACGACTCCTTTGAAAAACAAGGCCGTACGATTCTATGCGCAGTTGAGGAGGACCAAAGGACGCAGACCCCCTCCCCGAACTGAATTAGCACGGAAACCGTCAGGCTGCACTCATAATTTTTCGGCGTTGTTAGCGTCTCGAGCGCTGAATCGATACCTTTACATACTTTTCGCGCGAAACGCTGGTCTTTCTGCTAAAATGCGTAGCGCTCAAAACGCTCAACAAGCTAGAGTTCCTCCCCGAACGCTAAATAAATCACTATACTTTCCTTGTTGGTCAAAACGTCGTCGAAAAGTACGAACGCAGCCTTATCAAGGTAAGCACAATGGTGTGATCGGTGCCCGCCTTGTTCCTTACGAACGCAGCCTTATCAAGGTAAGCACAATGGTGTGATCGGTGTCCGCCTTGCTCCTTATGAAACGTTCAAATGTATACTTCATTGAATAAATTACAGCTATGAGCTTTATCACTGTTATTTGCAAATACTCAAAGATTTGCTTAAAAAAATTAACCTAGCTCTTCGAAAATCCAGTAGTCATCCGGCAGTTCATGACCATCCTTCTCAGGTGGTTCTTGAGGCATACAAAATCTGGAAAACCGTGTAAATTAAAGAAAACACAACATCCTCAATACGACGAACAAGCTGGAAAGTCGAAGTGTGGTTTGAAAATTTTAATGTCGCACAGTTATAGCTTTTGACCGCAGCTGCGTCCACCACACATTAGACGGCTATTTTGTTTTTTTTGTTTCTTTTTTCTGGGGTGTGTTGCTGCTTCTTTTCTGCTTTTCTTTATTTGCGTTTCAGATTCATTCACGAAGTCTAATAAATTACTAGATATTCTATTGTCGAATGAGTAAACCACAGCGAAGGAAAGGGAATGCGAAGGTTTGCGTAGATTTTGTTTGACGATTTGTTAACTTTTTAACAGTTCTCATGAACAAGAGTGCTGGTAATCATGTCAGGTTCATTCTGTTTGTTTATCTCCATTGGGTTCGCTGTTGTAGCATAGGTCTGCTGTCCAATACGAAATAACTTTCTGAGAACTTTTGAATGGGGAAGTGAGAAGAGTACCGTGGTGAGTGGTCAGGCCTGCGTTCATACTTTTCTGCGACCTTTTGAACGTCTCGCGCTTTTTGAGTGGAACGCGCAAAGCGCTAGATCGATACCGGTACTTTCCTTTTCGCCCAAAACGCTCGCAACGCCGACGGAAAGCATGAATGCGTCCTAAAAGAATTGCTTCGCCCCCACTGGAGAGCTCCAAACACGTTCGATGTTGGGCTGCAGACATCTACTACACTTGCGACCCCTCAGTTTTCATTCTTGGACAATTCTAGGGTGTCAGTTGCTGTTTTTATTAAGGCTGCAAGCAGTGCTAATGCCGCAGCGCTTCTTGAACGCTCAGGAATCTCCACCGCCTTTGTTGGCTTTGACAGTGGGAGCCACCAACGTTTTCGAAGTGGCAGCCGCGGCCAAGGGTGTTGCTTGTCGAGAGTCGATCAAGTACGTGAGTTTTTAATTCTAAGGAATTATCAAAAAAAGACCCGCAAACACGAGAGAAGGTAAGAATTTGGTTCAATGGGTTTCGTGGACCCCGTCCTGACTTCTCTGCTTCCTCAGGCTTTACGTGAGCTTCTCACTTGCTTGAAAGAAAAGATCCAGAAATGTTGGAAGTTTGCTATAATCACTTTGCTACCGGCATGGACAAGCTTATTGTGGTGAGTTCTACCTCTAGCGATTGTTTAGGGTCTATATAATCGTTAGTGAAGATTACATATAAATGCTGTTACGGTATAATTCAACCCAGACTCCCAACACCCAGTGCCTAAAGCTATGTTTATACCTTGCGACTTGAACGATTCAGTCGCGCGAGTCGGGAATACAGCGACCGTGACAGCTCCTTCACTACAATACATTGCATCGCTGCTAGTGCTCATTCAGCCACGCTTGGAACAGACTTTTTTGGTATGCGATTGCTGCCACCCGCTTTCGTGGCTCAGAAAGTTGTCACAAGCCAGTTATGGACAGAGTTCATATCCCAGGGCGGGACTCGAACTCAATCTTTCGGTCCGGGGACCATGGATGCGCCATCCATTTCGCCACGGAAGGCCGTTGTGGTACCGCTCTCGATGGCTCTTTGCAAATAGCCTTGCTACCCAAACACCCTCTTAATCTTTAAATGTGAACGCTGCTAGTAATGAATCGCCCTGGTCTGTAGAGATGCGTTCGTCTTGCCTCGGGGTTCACTTCTCGCCCACGTTCTCTATGAAGAGCGGAGCTTGATTTAAGCGCAATTTGTAACAAAGATCCAGTGAATGTTTTCCGTAAAGTGCACGAATGCAGCCACGTGTTCTTGTCGTAATTTAGCGCGAGCAGATAACCTCTGCCTGAGTGCAAGTTATGAAAGCAGGAATTAAGCAATTCCTCTAGGATTGCTCGGACCCCCCCCCCTAAATTCCCCGGCTTGATTTATTAGCCTGGTTTGAAGAGCTTGCTTTTTTGAAATGATGAACATTCATTTGACTGTGCGTGTGTGTGGGTGTGTGGGGGGGGGAGGCTTGGAACTACCGGTACCGGTCCCGTTCAAATATCTCCAACCACTTCTTCTTCGCTATCCAACCGAAATTTCTCTGATTTTTTCTTTCTCTGAAAATTTTTCTCTGAAATTTAGGTTGGACAGCGTGCGTAAAACAAGAAAATCATTTATCAAAAAGTTTTTCTCGGGCTGAATACGACCCCCTGCACCAAATACGACCCACCGCTGAGAACTCTCCAGCGCACGACGTGCCTTTTCTTACTTAATGTGCCTTGTCGAACCAAACTCTTTTGTTCCAGGATGGCAGTCCTACCGTACGGATGTTATCGCTGCGGGTTACCTCTTTCTTCATTTCATCTTTGAAAAAAGCAGCTGAGAAGCAATTGAAGATTGTGAGTTTTGAACGAGGTATTCTCTATACACTTACCCAGGGTACATATTGCTGTGTCCAGGTTATGCCTATGGTACTCATTGCAACGTGTGATACCAGTCTTTCTGTATCCAAGCAAGCTGAAGCAGTGCTCACTGAGAATTTCCCCGGCGACAAAGCCTCGCAGGCGACGTCGATTTTTGCTGCCGACACGGCAAAGCTCGCTATTGACATCATAGCTGGTCGTCATGCATTGGTCCAACCTCAAAAGTTCGTTAAACGTTCATTCATATGCTTTCTTCACTCTTAAAGGAGGAAGTAATATGGTTGTTAAGGTATGACTGTGAAGATTCTCCCGAACAAAGGGTGTCACGCCTGTCTACGCAGTGCTTACTAGTCATTTCTCGCTTAGCACCTTTTGCCTCAAAGAATGCTCAATTCAAGGAGGTCTTAGAGAACTTCTTCAAGCAGACCGCAATAATTAAGAACTTGACAAAAGGGACACCAGCGGTGAGTTCGTTGGAGGTTGTGATTTTCTATGGCTCCCATAAATATGTTTTTAGGTGAAATCAGCGCTTCTTGGAATTTGCTTAAAAATGCCAGATTGTGTGTCGTTACTGCTGGATACTCCATTGGCAACCTGGACCATATCCAATCTCGATTCACCGGATTCATCCGTATGCACGAAGGCATTCGAAGCGTTTATAGCTCTTTTGGCAGATGAGAGGTTTGTTGTGAAGAGTTCGTTGATCTCTCGTGATGTTTTACCATCCGAATTATAGGTTTTACACGAAATTCGACGTTGAGAAATCTGTCATTCCCAAGCTTTTGTCTGTAGTCAGACGAAAAGAAGCGTGAGTAATATTTTTGTTAATGTTTTCCCAACGATTAGAGATTGGTCATGTTGCGCTCATACTTTATAGCTGCGTTGAGCGAACGCCAGCGACCGGGACAGTCTCTGTAGTGTCCACCGAGAGTGGATAGAATGGGGAAGCAGGAAGGAGCAGACAGCTGGGCTAGGCGCCGTGAAATTGCGGTGCAACCGCGCCGAATAATGCTAAAGGCCAGAATTATGCAATAGCAATTGCACGGTGCATTTGCACCCGCCGTCATTTCATGACGCCTAATTCAGCTGCCTGCTATCCTCCTACTTCCGCGTACTTCACTCCTGGACGCTAGCAGACGCTCGCTAGATCGATATCTATACTTTCCTAGTCGCTCGCGCTGGCGCTCAAAACGCTTATATTCGCTGGTGGTCGCTGGTAGAATGTGGCACAAAATATGGACGCATCTGTTACATCCTTCTACGTCGGTCTGGTCACGAAGAGCATAAGATGTGAATGATTTCAGACACTGGCGTCATGCGTCGCGGTTTTTAGCACCGTCCTATGCGACTCTCGTTACGCATGTGAGTGATCCACCAAAATTCATCCACTCCTTTCTGGCGTCTTTCAACGACAATCTCCCTTTTGAAATTGGAGGATCTATGCCTGTTTGGGCTGAGACGTTCTCTGAATGTGTCAAATTCACTTACTCCAACGAAGAGACGATTGCTGAGTGTTCGGATTTGAATATCGTCGAAGTGGTCAGTCTCTACTTCCATAATTCCTGTTAGCAGTATTTATTCAATTGCAATCGATTTTTAGCTGCTTGAAAGTGTTGAGCATGTACGGGAGGAATCCAGTGCTTGTCAGGAGATTATTATCAATCTTCTGTTGTGGCTGCTAGATAAAAATGCTCTGTCTAGGGACAAGAGCACTTTTCTGCTTGACACGCTGCAGCTCAATCTCATTGGAAAGGTACGAAATAGAGCTTATATGCTATTTTGGCAAATACAAATAATTCTTATTCCACTTGTAGCGACCTCAAAGTGATTCTTTTTGTGCTCTATTGGTGGCTTCCGCAACGTGGTCGTTTCGAGCATTTCATGTTGCTCTCCTACGTGTCCCTCCTCTTCATCCAGATTTCGTCAGACCATTGCTTTTTTGCAGCTTCGAGTACCTTGAGTACGTGGACAGGGTCAGTTTCTTCTATATGTTTACTCGATATACAAATATGCCACATTCTGCCGTTGGGAAAAATACCTGTGAAATGCAATCCTTCCCCCCACCACTCCTCCTCTGGCATGACGCCTCCTCATCTCCTTCCTACTTAACATTTTTCCAAACTCTTCCAACTTCCTACCACTTCTCCGGGAACAATCGAGAAGAGGAGGGCGGAGGTATACAGCACGCTCGAAA